TAATGATTTTTTATGTTATTGTTATGTCTACTTGTTGCATAAAAATCTCAATTAGTATATGCCTATTAATAAGGCTGAGAGATAATTAGAAAAAATTGAAAATTATTAGGTTTGATAGAAGTTGTGACTATTATGAAATGTACGATGAATCTTGAAAGTGCTCTTATCAACTTGTTAAATGCTTAGAAAAGCAATACATGTGTGCTCAATACATAATGTCAGGCACGACATGACAAAATTGTGTTACAGAAAGGCACAATCATACTTTAATGGATATGGTTAGGGGTATGGTGAGTGGTTTTTTTTAACCATTATTATTATTGATGCATGCTTTAAAAGTAACTATTTATTTGTTAAATAGGGTTCCTAATATGGCAGTTCTAAACACTCCTTTTGATCTATGGATAGGAATGAAACATAGCTTAAGATACCTTTATATTTGTGGTTGCCCCTCTAAAGTAAAAAAATTTAATCCATATGAAAGAAAGCAGATTCAATAACAATTAATGAGTTTTCATTAATTATTAAGAAAAATATATATGATATCTATTTATTGTTATAATATAGTACAAAAAGTGTTAAAATTGGAAATTCTAGGTTCATTAAAAATGGTGAAATTAGTGGGAGTGTAGAACCATGTAATGTAAAAATTTAATAAATTATGGTGAAAACTCCTACACCAATTACTTATTTCAAGGTTATTGTTCCTACTATTGTTGAATAGTTTGTAGCTTAAAGAAACAAAAATAGATGATCAATCATTTCATAATGAAGTTATCGCCAATAAACCTTTGATTGATTAATAACAAGATGTAGCTTTAACATGTTCTTAATAAATAAGAAAGTATACTGTATCAAATGATTATATGATTTATGTAAAAAAAATTAGAAATTCACTTAGGAATTGAAAAAGATCCAATTTCATCTTCAAAAGCCATGGAATGTTCTAATTGTGTTAAGTGATCAGATGTTCTGAAAAAAGAGTTAAAATAAATGAATCATAGTAAAATTTAATACCTTATTGAATTGTCTGACGGTTCATAATATGTTGGGTGTAAGTAAGTCTTTAAGGCCTAATATGACTTAAATGGCAATATTGAATGATATAAGTATAAATATGTTGCCAAAGATTTAAATCGAAAAGGTGGTGTTGACTACAAAGAGATATTTATTGCTACCTTAAAAAAAATTACGAAGAATTATCACAGCTTTAGTAATTCAATATGATTTTAAGTTACATAAATTAGTTGTAAAAACAATTTTTCTGAATAGAGATATAGAGAAAGAAGTATATGGGTCAATATTAAAACTTTTTAAGTAAAAGAAAAAGAAGAAAATGTTCTGTAAACTTAAGAAGTCACTATATGGATTGGAATAAGTTCACAACAATAGTATCTTTAATTCAACTTTATATTATTTATTTTAGATTTTAAGAAAATATTGCTAACTAATGTATATATATCTAATGTTTAATGAAAGCAAGTTTAAATTTCTAATATTTAATGTTGATGATATAAAAATATATTCTAGTCACTTGTGACTAATTAAACAACAAACTTTCATCCATAGGATCATGATCGAGTCATCTAAAAAAAAAGTTCAAAAATAAACAAAATGATAAAATAAATTAATTGGCTAATAAGACATCAACAACATAAAATTTTTAAATGAAATGTTAATGAACAAAGATCACCAAATGCAACTATAACCCCAAATATCCAGGCCTATGAAACTCTCTTGAACGATGCAATCTATGGTTGTTCACAAGAATCTTCGGGTCAGAGTAGGTTTGATCGCTTCTCAGATTAAGTAAATCAGGGTAATCGATGACCCCGGGACATCAGAGTCATAAACATCTTGACCGAGTTGTCAAAAAACTAAGTTGATTTTTTTTTAAAATTTAATGGTAAAGATACACATATAGTCATGAAATTTAAATCATAGAAAATTATTCAACATTTAGAGATAAGTTGTGCTAGTCATTATTATGATTAAGATTATATTTATTTCTATTATTATAGATCAATTCTATCGACAAACACGATGATGCATTTATTTTATCAAGAGAGATTATATTATAGTCATTGTATATCAATTTTTTTATTGTATAGTTTATTATTATGAATAGGATTTATTTATATTTATATTTAATATTTATTTGATAATAAATAAATGACATAATATTAATAAATATTTAAGAGATAAATTCTTCCTAACATACCTTCAGCAATCTATCAACTATTGAAACTTTCATATGGTGCAACCTTCTAGTGTAGCTCTTCGCATGAGATTAGGACTTGAAAAAAAGTTTGATAAATTGTGAATCAAGAAATAGAGAAATGTTTAGGAAGATATTTATGGCATCCCAATTTTTCATAGTATATTTTCCTTCCCTTTATTCACACAAAAAATGTATATTTGTATGCTAAACAAGTTCACTTTACTATGATGTTTGAACTTTAGATTCCTTCTTGTACTTTCATTAGTATCTTTTTTAGCAAATTTTGTTTTGTCTTGATATGAAAGTAAGATTATCTTAAAGTCTAACAATCTCGTTAGATTTAAAGTCAAATTATTTTTTTCTCAAGTAAATTGATTAAATTTTATTTTATAGCCTCCATTGATCATTCTTGATTAGTTCCATCCATGAGTACTTCACCTTTTATTGTGTTTTGCCAAAAGAGAGGATGTGGCTAGATCAACCAAATTGGCTAGTCGAGCTTGACTAAGACCGCATTAGGAAAAATCAACTTGGTCATCTTGACACAATTCAGTTATAATTAGAAGAAAATCAAGCAATTCGTTCGTAATTACAGGGCTTATTATTTTCTGAAAAACTTGTTTGGTGCTTGATTTAGCTAGATTAAGCATCTATTATATCCCTCTAACATACTTTGATGCATGTGAGTTGAGTTTATTTATGCAATACCACATAGAGATTAAAATAAAATTTAAGTTTGCAAGGAATGTGTTGTTTGCTATGATTTTGAGTGAGCAAAAAAAAAAAATTATAAAGTTGATATGATACAAATATTAAATTTCAATATTTTTATAAACTAATTAAATAATTTAATTTTTTTAGGTATAAACAATATTTTAAACAAAAAAATTGACAGTATTGTAAAAATTAGAGAAATATACTGACAGCTTCACAAATATTGTTTTAATATGGCTTGAGCAAGATCCAAACTATAATTAAACATAGTTCAATATGTTAAATTTAAAGATAGACATAATATACTATAATAAAATAGCTATAACATATCACAATAAAAAATATTTCACCATCAAATACTATCTATAAGAATAATTTTATTAGATAAAAATTGTTAAAAGTCAATATCTGCATCACAATAATAAAATTTTTTGATACAATGTAATAAAATCATAATGTTATAACATCTTATAATATAATTGTCTCTCTTATATCTAAGGTGAGTGTGTTAATACTTATTACTGAGAAAGTATGACTCTTTCCTAATCAAATCAGATTTATATCATTATAAGATGATCAAAATTATAGTTAATGGGCATGCATGGGACTCCACAAAATATTCATTTAAGATTATTAGGATTCAAAAAATTATCATCAAATAATAATTGTTATATATATTTTGATTTATAATTGTGATTTTATATTATCAAATTAAATAAAAGACTAATAAATTAATAAAATAAGTAAAAAAATATTAAATCATATTAAATCAAAAGGCCATCTTTGCATTGACATTATTATCACATTCAAATACTAATTATGCTAAAATTAAGTAAAAATAGATGTCATCATCTTTAATATTCAACATAATAATGTTAGTAGCTTCAAATTGTTCAACTGGTTTGTCTATCACACACCCCAAACATCTAAATACATAGCAAGCCAATTCAAATGATTTAATTACAAAAGAGAAAGTCACTGCAAAATAATAAATTTGAATGTTGTTAGTATTATATTCAAATAAGATTTAAAAAAATATTTAATATTGCTTGTTAATTGTTTGAACCATGATCAAATCTTGATCAACCTTGTTAATACTAACTTGATTATTGTTTGAACCATGTAAATAATTTATTTATCATTATTCAAACATTGATAAAATTTTCTTTGATTATTTTCTTAAAATCCAATAAAATTCAAAGAAGTTTAAAAGTTCTGTCATGATCCGAATATCATTCAATCAATGTTTGAATAAATATTAATTAATTTTTAAAACTATTAGTTTGTTGTCTAATGTTCTTTTAGATCCATGATTCAGAGTGCCATGATACTTTAAACCTAATAATTAAAAATATAACATTGCCAAACTTAAACATTTAGAAATCGACAAAGATAAAAAAAATCCATGAAGTTTTGTCAATAAAATTAACTTATGAAATACAATCACTAAGGATGATGAAAATATATATAAATAAAAATATAACACTAACAAACTTAAACATTTAGAAATCGACAAAAAAAAAAAAAATCCTTGAAGTTTTGTCAATAAAATTAACATATGAAATACAATCACTAAGGATGATGAAAATATATGAGTATGAAGACTGCAACTTTTTACCCGAAATTTGCAAAAAAAAAAATTTTTTTTTAGTATCCTTGCCAATTCTAAGAATATTTTAAACTTTAACTTTTTACTCGAAATTTGCAAAAAAATTTTTTTTTTTCTAGTATCCTTGCCAATTCTAAGAATATTTTAAACTTATTTTATTTTAATGTATATTTCTCAAAAACTAAAATAGCAAATATTTTTTTTTTAATATTTACTATTATATGCCATATAAAGTCAAATTTATTATTTAAAACTTTAAATATTAAATTTCTTACTAAAAATTTACTTAAATAAGCCCCAGCATCATTGTAAGCTCTAAGAATATTTTCAGCTAAATAAAATTTTAAATATATTTATAAAAAATAAAATAATACATAACTTTTTTAATTTTCAGTACTGTATGCCATATAAAGTCAAATTTATTGCTTTAAACCTTAATAGCACTTATGAGTAGTTCCAAAACCGAATAGAAGTGCAACCGGGCCGGCCCATTATTGGATCTTTTGGAGGGCCGCTGTCTTCGACGACCAAAAACCGGGAAGGTGGAGGTGAAGAGAAAGAGAGGAGATCGGGGATGGCGAACCAAGCAGAGGCAAGCCCGCGGAAGCGGAAGGCCTTCGACGGAGAGCTAGAGACGGAGGCAGCTGCGATCACTGATATGAAGCAACTGGCGGACGAGGAGCCGGCGGCAATTGTTTTGAACCCTAGTAAAAGCGTTGGAGCAGGCGCGAGTGGCAGTAGTGAGTTGTTTCCCGAGGAATACGATTGGTCCTGCAGCAGAGATGATGATTTCATGCTGCAGCAAGCCGCCATTAGGGAGGAGGCCATCAAGATTCCCTATGTCGGAGATAAGGCTAGACTTGTTAAAACCATTTGCTGCTCATTTTTCTCGTACTTTGTATTTTTTTATTCCACTTTCTTTCTCGGGACTACCGATCAAGTTTTGTGGTGAGGCTGTGAGACCTTGGTTTCTTGCCGGTAAAATCTAATTTTATTTTTGAAATGTGCTCCGGTCGTGATCTTTATCTTATTTAGATAGAAGGATTTAATTTTCTTCACTGATTTACTTTGCATTTCCAATCAATCTTTCGTTTCTTTCTGTATTATTTCTATGTTTGATAGGCTGATACGGGTGTGGATGTTGCTTGCCTCTTCTAGATTATTGCTAACATTTTGATCTTTTGGTCATATAGAATAAGTATTGACTAGCTCTTTTTATGTGTTAATAATCTGCAATGTGATATGCTTTGATTCTTCTAACATTCCATGTGTAATTCTTGAGCAATTTCTTCTGCTTGGAGATATAGGACTACTTTCTGCAGGCGATGACACTTTAAGGATGTACTTAGGGACTGCTTTATCCGAGATTTGAATAACTTTAATAAAAGATTAGGAATTCTTGAATTGAAATTACGGCATGGCAATCTTTTTTGGCATGCATTAGCAATTGGAAATGAAGTCTTATAAAGATTAGGATTGAAGGAAATTGGGCAAGTCATATGAACAAATCTCTGCATCAGTGGAAGAATCATTTATCTTATTATATTAGATCCTAGGCCATTTCCACTCATAATTTATCTCAAGCTGATTTGTCCTTTAATGATCTGAAAGAGATCTAATGAATAATGGGTTTTGTTCTTTAGAGTATATTTATTGTGGCTGTCAATCCCTTTTTGATTTTATGTATGTGAAATACCCTTGTTTATGAAGGTATTTGAGGCTTATGCCTCAAGACACACTCAAAATGAGGTGCAAAAGAAAAAGCCTTGAGGTTTAGGGCCATTGTCACCAGTAAGGCTTATACCTTTTTCGTTTGAGGTGTTCATCTCGAGGCTTTATGTCTTGAGGTGTTTGAGATAGCGCCTCGATCATGTTAAAAGTTATATTTTATTTTATTATTAATATTTATTTATTATATTTTGTTATACTATATTATGCTATATTATATTATATTATATTATATTATATTGTATTATATTTAATATCTTTAATACTATACTTCAAAAATGTTAAAAGATAAATTGAGTATGGTTACTTGATTATTGTATTTTCTTTTTCTTTTATTTTTAATTATTTCAGATCTAAAATTAATTGATATAGAGAGTAAGAAAAAATGTAGTGATTGAAGAATATTTTGAAGTTGCCAATAAGGTAGACTAGGGTAATAATAAATATAATGATTCTTTTGAAGATGAGTAAAGCAAGAATGAGGACACTATAGATATTGATTCTCATAGAATATTTAAATTATTAGTGAATGATTACCTATGACACATTTCAAACTTCTATTTTATATCAATATTTAATATTAAGTTTTGAGGTTTGTCTTCTATGATAATAAACTAAATCAATATATCAATAATTTATGTATTTTTTTATGAATTGTTTTTAATTTTATGAGTTTTGTCTATTTTGAAGCCTACTCGTCACCTCATTAAAGACAAAATGGCTTTATTCTCGATTACGCCTTTTTATGCCTTATGAAATACATCATCCACCAAGATTTTGATAACCTTGGATCTTTTTGAAAGAGTATAACTCAAAAGCTTGCCTTATGCAAATTAGTTTGCATTTAATCTTTTGATTTGTTTGACTGGGTTATCTTGTTATTATTTTACGTTTGTTACGCCCTTGTCATTTTAATGATAATTTGCATATGATCCTCTACTTCTAACTATAGTTGATAAGAGAACCAACATGTAGCATTTATTATTATTATTTTTCTTTTGTTGTTGTTTTTCTTGATGCCCAAATGAAATGTGAGAAACAAAAAACCTCTATCCATTCCCCACATGATGTATTCTCTTCCTCTGAAGTCAATTATCCTTTGAAATTCACAATGTATTTGCAATTTGTTACTCTTCACATTTGAGGACTAGATGCTCTTAAGTGGTTACGCTATTCACATTCTAATAGTTGGAGCTTATTTAAAAGTAGTTTTGTTATTCTAGGATTTTTTTTTAATACAATTGATGGATGCCCGAAGTATTATTATCATTTATTTGGTTCTTAGAGATCTTGTAGAGCTTATTACGTAGTATGAACCCATTTTTTTCTTAGAATCATATGATCAACTACTGAAGTATTGCCAAAACATTAGAATACTATTGTTGAGCTCCAATCCGTTCTTGGATGGTGTGCCCAAATTTTACTAAACAGAGAAAAACCAGAAAGAGATAGAGAAAATAATCCACTAAAATAAAGCTAATAATGCTATAATGATACAACATAAGAAAAATAATATAATTGGCCAAACACTAGGCTATCCCCAAGAATCTCCTACTTATAGGTAGTGATATGAGATTTACGGTCTACAAGGAAACTATAAAATGAGGGATGCATGCATGAAAAAAAAAATAGAAATATAGGAGGCTGTAGTCCTGAGGCAAACTTAGTTGAGAAACTGACTTGTTGGAGGAGGTGCTAGATCTCTTGATAAGCCGCGGCGGATCTTTGGTTATAGACACCCTGTCTATCCTAGTCACCTTATTAAGGCCAATATGGAAGAAAATGGAATTTCCTTGGAGTCATAGTGGATGTTTCCTTGTGTCAGGCACGTCAAACCGCCTTGAAGATATTGGCGATTAGGCTCTATACCCTGTTAGATAGGTATGTTTGTCTCAAACTTACCGAGCGAGCGGGTTCAAGTACTGAGCCCGACTTGTTGAGCTCGTCATTGTATAAACTATTTAGGTGAATCTGCCATTGGGACGTATAACTATGATGGATTTGATGAGAAATGATTTAGCTAGAGTGATAGGGAGAGTTACTTCATTGATAAAATAGTTGAAACTAGAAGTTGGTGTCTTTGGCATGCAAGATGGACATTAAAAGATGCATGAAAAACCATAATCATAAAAAGCTACGAGAAGATAACCCATTTTTTGCCATGTACTAGCCACCATAGTACAACATATCAATTGATTCATTATCTTGATATGGTTAAAAAAATAGGTTATTGAATGCCTAATTATTGCTTCATTTTAGATCTTTTCTTAAACCTTTCCATGATATAGAGACTTTGCGCTTATATTTACATTGATTTTAATTTACTAAAATTATAATTTTGTGTGTGTGTGTGTGTGTGTGTGTGTGTGTCTTTTAAAATATATATAATTATCCGTTACAGGGTTGGTGTAGCTCCAATGATGGACAAAATCAGAGACAGTTGTCTTAGATGGTTTGGTCACATTAAACGTCGACCAACTGATTATCTGATTAGAAGAGTAGATGTTTTAGATTCGACTTATGTTAAGAAAGGCAGAGGTAGATCTAGGATGATTTGGGCATATTATTTAAAAAATGATCTTAATTTATTAGAGTTAAATGAATATGACACTCAACAAGATGCAGTGGAGAAAAGGATTCTTTTAGGAAACCGTAGTCGACCCCACTTAGTGGGATAAAGGTTTTGTTGTTGTTGTATAATTATATTTTTTAAAATTTTCAATGTACTACATGGACCAGTATTTTTTTCATTTTTGTTCATATATTCCGATAAAATTATGTAGATTGTTTAGAGCATTAATTATTATATTTCTTATTGCTTCACTATTTTTCTGTTAAATATATCTTCCATTCAGATAACCAAACCCTTTTACAGGTGTTGAAATTTTCTCTCTGATAAGCCTGGTAAATATAAAATATTAATTAGGAGCTGTATTTGAATTCAGTCGTGACGATTATCAGTACGTATAACTTGTTATTTGTAGTGGCAGTAGGGGCTGCTGCTGTAGTTGCTGGTAGCTCTAATAATGAAGCGTATATCAATGATTTAGTTATTTTAGGCATTACGGCTAAGCGAAAGTCTCTCTGGTAAAAATTCTGCTCATTATTTTGTTGGTTGTTCAATTTTGATTTTTTAATCGCCGCAAATTGCTCTACATGGAGATTTCTATTGTTACACGATCGCCAACATAAAATTTATGCGTAATATGATATACATTCCTTATTTTCGAAGCTATCAAAACATTAGCATAATGACAACCAATTATTAGTTAGTTTAAGGCTTGCATTGTTTTAATATGATAGAATTATGTACCTGTCAATCAAAGTATCATTTTTTAGAGGCATGCTGGCTTGATATCTTTAGCTGTTTTGTTTTTCAAAATGTCTGACTTTTGAAAATATTAATTGACATGTAATGTGTAATGCAAAGTTCTTGACTAGGCTGCTTGTTCATGGCTTTTACCATAGGCAACATACTTCCAGAACAATTTTTGAATCTTCGTGAGTTTGCCATTGATTTCTTTTAGATCAAACAATGCAACATGATATCAATGCAACTTTTCCAAGTGGATCTCAGTTGTAGATTTTGAATGCAAATTATATTTCATGAGTACTTCGAAGGCATAGGCATTTAATATTGATTTTGAAGTAAAATTACTTATTTTAATTCCATAACAACATATTTATTTGTTTAAAATATTATTAACATACACAAACAGATTTTTGAGGCTGGAGCATCCAATTGTTAGTTCAAGCAGGCCTGATATAGTTAGTAACTTGTTTTTTTTTTAGCATGTTTTGCATCATTTTTGTTTTTGTAATATTTATTTTTTTTATTTTCTAATTGAAATAAATATTTATTATTTTTAAAAAGGTAAAAAAAATCTGGATAAGGCAAGAATGGAAAACTTGTCGATGCCACCTATCATAAAAAAATCATATGGAAACTAATTTAGCTATCATATATAAAACTTAATATAGCCTTTGTTGTAAATCTAGTATTCTAATTTATGCATTCTCCATAAAACGGGCATATACAAGCTGCATTTAGAGATTGAGATACTTAATCTTATCTTGGAAAGGATTTTCTATTCAAGAAAAAACTCAACACAATATTGAAGCTAA